ATTAAACAAGCTCAACGCTCGAAACAATCGATTAATGTATCGTGATCGTGTGAAATTCGGGAAAGAGAATTACTTTTATTTCAGATTATGATCCGGTGAGTCACAAAATCTGGCAAATTCCGAAATCCGGTATATTCCGGATTCCGGAATCCGGTTGTTCCGGATACATGTAAATCCGGCGGAACCGGATTTCACCGGATAGTGCAAAATCCGGCGGAACCGGATTCCGGACCGGGGTCCGGCACACCCCTATTCATGTGCCAAAGTTGAAAGTTTAAAATAAATCGACCCTAAACAGTATTTTAGTGATAAGGGAATGCCTTAGCCTTATATAAACTATATAGTCATTGCGCATGACGTGATCGGCGGAATGAGGTCACAGAATGTGGAAATGCAGTCCATGTTAAAAAAGGACAAACCAAGTCGTACTTTAAAAATTCATAACTTTAAAACTACAACAGCTAAAAATATAATTTTGGTGTTATAATTATGTACAAATTTAGCTCTATTCAACTATGCCATTGGTTTATTTTTACAAAATGTTTAAATTTTTGAACAAAGTATCTACTATGCCTAACCTGAACCCTAAATCGATCCCTCAACCTAAGCCTTAGCCTTAACCCTTTTTAATGAGTGTTTAATTCACTGCAACTATAAATCAGGCAAATGACGTCACGGGTATGATCCTCAACATTAGCCAGAATTAAATATCGCTCTTATATTATTGACATTATCTCATATCTAATTTACCTGCTGTCTCTGGGCATTTTTGAAGGCGTACTCAAAATTGTTTATATTTAAAAATCTAGGTTTGTTCAAACGCTGCTCTAGTGATTAAGAAACAGCCATTTTGTCACAAGCAGGTATCAATTTTTAAAGTCGTAAAATTGACTCTACTAGCCAAACTTGACCGTCAATATTTAAGCCCAACCACAAGGAAATTCTCCCAAATTTATAATTTTTATTTTTTCGTTCAGTAATTGTTATCTGTTCAAGAGAAACAATGCCACCATTAAGGAAATTTTAAATAATTTTTTTTTAATTGAGCACAAGCACTGGTAATTAGCCTACACAAATAATTCTCATTAAATGTCTGAAACATTATTTATTTTATTATTTATTTATTTAAGGACAAGGTGCCTTTATTCTGATATCTACCTCTTGGGACTGCAATTAATAGGCCTAATCCTTATTTGACAAACAACCTTCAAGCGTGCCCCACCTGAGTTGGGACACAAAACTGTCCACCTAATCCTTAAAATGACCAAGACGGCGAGGAGGAGGGGGGGGGGGGGGGTGTAGGCTTATAACTCGGAAATTAACAAGTGAAAAAAGATATGTTTAGGTTTGAAAATAAAATACAGTTAAGGTGAAATTTTGACTAGATGCATTCTTCAGCATATACCACAATATAATATCCTTTATGTGACTGTAGCAGCTGATTTTTTGTATGGGTATGGTTTTTATTTTATTTTTGTACACTATTTCAAAAATTTACAATAATGTATCTTTCTAAACTGCAAGAGCCCTTTTAAAAGTTGTTGAAATATATTACCTTTCTCAATCTTTGGCATCAAAAAATGATTTTGTGGGATTGGGTTGGGCTGAAATCTTAAAGAATGTGTTGTCATCGGAAATGAGTCTATGTGCCAAGTTTCAGCTCGATATCATGACGGGAAGTGGATCAGTTAGCCTTCCAAAAATTTTACCTCAAAGAAAGACACATGCGAACAAAAGCGACGTTAATATAAAGGAATTTTTAAATTAAAAAATCTAGTTTTTCAACTGCAATGGACTGTTATGAAGGACTCCCACCCCAAATCAAAATGACTGTTATGAATGACTCCCAACCTAATCAAAACAAAATGACAGATCAGTTACAAGTTAAGTCATGACTAACTGAGTATGGGCAGTTTGACACTTAACTTGACTTCTAATGTTACAAGGTGAATGTTTCTGTGTCCGTGAAAATACAGGTCATATGTAGATTTGCAAAATAAATTCACTTTTTTTTAAGGGCCCGGAATGAAATTTAAAAAAATAATCAATTGCCATTTAAAAATAGGGCTGCAAAGTCAGACTTAGATTTATAATTACCATGGTCAAAGCCAAATTTAATATTTTTACTAAAATTGTAAAATGCCACTAGAAATAGTTATATCAAAATGTGTGTGACTTAGAATCGGGCAGAGGTTATTATTGTAGTATCATTAACAAATTTATACTTAAATTCATTTAATAAATAAATTTGCAAAACACTCAATTTTTTAGGATTTAATATATATTTCAGTGTATCATACCATGGGAGGCGTAACATTTATCTCTATTACTATTACTTCATTTTAACTATGTTTATAATATATTTTATTAGTTTTTTGTTAAAAATATTTTTATTGTGTGTTTTTTTTTGTGTGGCGGGGTTGTGTGTTTATTTATTATTAATTAATTAATTAATTTGATTATTGCATTTTAAGTTGTGGGAGAAAATGGGCAATTCCCTTTAATGTGACTTCAGTTTAATCTTGATTTTATTTCGGTTTTGTATTAGATCTCGTTATATAGGATGACTGGAACATTCAATATCCGCTATCTCTGGCACGTGTGAAAGCGAAAGTGTAAACAAATATTCTACAACTATAGGTAGGTCCATGAAGTATTATTAATACTACTATTACCATTATTTGTCTGCATCCAAAGGGATTAACTCTAAAGCTACGATTGCTTGTTTTAAATAAAACTGTGGTATGAAAACTATTAATTATTTCTTACCGCATTTCGTATTTTCTCATGTAAACATCACTTAAAATTACGTATATTCTTTATTAATAATTAATTAAATACATGCAATAAATGAGTAATGTTAATTCTGCATTATACAGCTTCCCCCCCCCCCTTTTTATTTGATGTCTAAAACATCCCCCAACTAAAGTTACATTTTAAGATACTCCCATCCCATAGCCCCATTTGTTTTAGTTGTTGGTTTTTTTTCACCCTTGGCCAGATTTTTAAATTTTAATCACCTATAAGTTTATAAGTATGAGTATGCTAAACGATAGCTAACATCTAAATTGATGGACCTGTAAAAACACATGACTAAACATTTGTGACAATGCAGAAATAAGGGGTGGGGGAAATCGGCCATGATAGCGTTGGGTCATTTATTGATAGTCATCTCAAAATGCTAAGCGTGTTTACGTTGTCCATAATTGGTCAGCTCTAATTTGAGCACCCCTCCCCTTTTTCGTATGCCCTTGCGCTCAAGTTGACTGATTTGCGCTGAGTAAAATGAGGGAAGACTGACTCGCTTTGGGGTATTACTGGTAGTGGGATCACTTTGTTTAAAATAGAAGGACAGCCAAGATCAACAAAAATTCAAACTGTTGATCCAACGGAAATTTTAAATGATGCAACTCTGCGTACTGAGATTTGGTTTATACTTGCACTCTGTGAGGTGACAAAATAACGTCAATACAACTAGGGAATTTCTTGCAAGGCGCTCTCCTTTGTGAGGGAACAGATAACGTCCATACAACTTTCGTGCAATTTCTTGAAATTTTTTTTCCTTTCAAGATTCAAATTTACTTTTAACTATTAATGATTTGATGTTTACTAAAAATTAATTAGACAAGTGGGGTCTACTGGTACAACAAATGTTTATTATTAGCTATGGATTATGGATGGCTGTGATGCCTTACCCTTTACTCATTTACTAATATTATAAATATATTTTAGATATTTATATGCATTATTCATATTCATAGGCATAGGGTTAGCTATTAATTTATTAATTTTATTTTCAGATGAGTTTCAGGGGTCGTGGTGGTAGGGGTTTTGGCAGAGGAGGTGGAGGTAAATTTTAGGGTTACAATTTATTTTTAAAATTCCAAAGACAATCATGCAGTCTTTATAAAAGTGAACTATATATATTTATTTGGAATTAATTCCATTAACATTAACTAACGTGTTAAGAAATTTAACAATTTATTTGAAAACTAATCTTTTTAAATGTCTCCTGAAGTCAAACAGATGTGCCATTTATTTAAAAGCAGATAACAATCTTATTTATTATTACACAGGCAACATTTTTTTAAAAATGTGGTCGAAATCTCTGCCAGTAGCCTACTTATCTTTTTAAAAAAGAAGAAATATAAATTATACTATGATTGGCACAAGGTTAAGAGATAAGAAATAGGGTAAAGCGTCATAAACCATTTTTCTGTTAACCATTTTAAGTTTTCTTTTTATACATCCCTTAATATCAAGTTTAAATATTTGTAATTTGTTAAACACATTTTTAAAAGATAACTTATGCTGATTATATGGTAGATTGTAAAGATAAAGATGGATTCTAAATATTATTTGTAGGTTTTCGTGGTGGCAGAGGTGGGGGTGGTCGTGGTGGAGGTGGAAACAGATGGCAAGATCAAGGTCCACCAGAAGAAGTAATGGGTGAGAATTTGTTTTAAGATGCTTGCTAATGATTATTGTTAGTATAAATATATGTTGTAAACCTCAAATTCAGTAAAAATGATATATTTCAATCGGTAAATAGTGTAATGCTTTATTTTTCAGAAATCGGCTACATGACACACACATGTGAAGAGGACTTGGTTATCAAGAGTACTAATGATAAAATACCATACTTCAATGCACCCATTTACCTCCAAAATAAACAACAAATAGGAAAAGTTGATGAAATATTTGGTCCAATAAAAGATTTTGTATCCTTTAGAACATGAGCCAAAATTAAATTTAGATATTAGGGCACTCAGTTGAGGTTTTTGGGAAATAGATAGTTGAGGTTGTTTTCTATTTTAAAGTTAGCAATTCAATTCAATGTATGTATCTACAATTGAGACTACGTTACGTTTTTCTGTGGCCTTATTGCCATTATTTTTTTTCTAGCATTCTATACTTTATAGACTATTAGACTTAGCTTGTAATGTACTATAAATCAGTTGTTGTTTTTTTTGTTCCTATTCTCAATGTAATTATGAAATTTATAAAAGAGATTGGGTAAGTATGAAATTGTTTAAGTTTAAAAAATTATAAGTTTCTTAACTAGCTTTCAGTATTTTTCAGTAAAATTATCAGATAACATGAAAGCAGGATCTTTTGAAAAATCATCAAAGGTAAATTATATACTAATTATTATTAAAATTCAATCTGATTAAGAAGCTTAAATTAACTGTTTGAAATAGGCAAGTAAGGGATTTATTAAGCCTAGTGAATAAATGAAAAAATAATATCTCTCTATCAATCTGATCTTGTGTCCCTAAACATTCCGGTAGTTTATGTGTGATTTAATTCATTTTTTTTTTTCCAGTTTTATATTGATCCTGCCAAGTTGTTGCCATTGGCTAGGTTTCTCCCTCAAGCTGGTCGATCAAGAGGAGCTGGAAAAAGAGGAGGTAAAATATTTGTAGTTATTCAATATGGCAGTGCTGTCCTGCCCGTGGGGGAGAGTTGGTCTCCATCCTGTATTGTTTTGACATTGGGGAAAACTACCTGGAATTAAGAGATCAGAGTATGAGACATTCAATGAGTAGAAAGCAGAATGCATACTGTGATTGTTTGTAGTTAGTGCCATTCAGTCAGGGAGGAAGTTTTCCTTTGAGATGTCATTTGCAGCCCTTGAGTGTCAGGAAATATTTTTTTTGGCCCACATACCCGTTAGTCAAAAAGTTTGGTCAGCACTGCTATATGAATTTATCGTGTTAAAAGTCTTCTTTTTTGGTGCAATTAAGGGCAACACTACTAATGGTTAATACACTTTGTGTTGACGCAATCATCGTGTGTTGTATTATTGACAAATAGGTTATCAGGTCGCATTATTATTACCGGTATTATTAACCTTTTTAGATACCATTAAAATGTACAGGTAAGGTTAAAAATGTGTTAAATTATGATGCACAGACAATGGTGATAATGGGAGTACCTGTTGCCCCGGTTCCATGATGTTTTGGTCATCCTACATTTCTTCTGCTTACAATAGCCTATAATCAGATGACCAATTAAAAATCACTTCTTTGTTATTACTCATAACTCTATTTGATTACTGTGTATGAGTACACTACAATTTATCCTTGGCGCAGAAAGAAATGTATGGATTTATTTAAAATCTTAGAATAATACAAGCAGTGGGCTTTTAATAGCAGTGTCAATGAGTACTACAATTTATAAGATTAGATAGCTATTCACAAAAAGAAAAAGGTAAATCTAGACATATTAATATTACCCATGTTTGGAAAATTGGGAGGGTTGTGGGGTGTTATAGAAATTGTCTTTTTAATTTCTTTAATTGTCAAGTATACATTAATGCTACAATTAATTTAATTTTATTCATCCACAGGTTTTGACAGAGGACGTGGCAGAGGAGGATTTGATAGAGGCAGAGGTGGACGTGGTGGTTTTGATAGAGGGCGTGGTGGTAGGGGTGGGTTTGGAAGAGGGGGTGGTGACAGAGGAGGAAGAGGGGGTGGTGACAGGGGAGGGAGAGGAGGGGGATTTAGGGGCAGCAGGGGTGGCGGGTTTAACAGTAGTTTTGGTCAAAAGTAAACCTTTATTGATTTGTTATTTAGTGCGATATATTGAGTGAATCAAGTGAATGATTAAATGGTGTGTGGACATTGTTTTAATCTGATATATATACGCATTTTAATGGTATTGAATGGTGTTTATTTGCCATTTTAAGGTTTAGAGTGTAAAAGAGTGTTTGCTTTAGGGTTTTTTTTTAAAAAAACATAACTGTTTCAAATGCTGTCTGATATCTGGTATTTTTTAGTAAGTGAAGTGTTTTGGTATCTGATTGCATTATTGTATAAATATGTATCACACTTTGTTGGACCACTGCCAATTTTATCATTAAAAGTGAATCATACATTTTCATCATTTTAATTTTGAGCTTTGATTTTTAAATTTTGTAGTGACAATAATTCAAGAAATGGTGCTGTACCTGTGCAATAAACATTTCAGTATTTTCAACAGGGCACTAACTTTTGAGAACCACTAAGTTAAAAGAAAAAAATATTCCAAGTACGTTTTACAAGCATGAGAATGTCACAATTTTAAGTATTTGGACTTATTAGTTTGTAATATACCCTGAACTGTATATTGAGATTTATTTACACACTGCCGTTGTGTAAATTTCAGATGGTTTTACTAGAAAGGAACTGGAAGTAAACATAAAATTTTATGCACAACTGAAAAAAAATGTTTGGAAAAACGAGATCAATCACATTTGAGTGATTTGACAATGAGTTTTAAAACAAGCAAAAACAATTTTCAGATGCCTTCATTTTCAATAGTTGAGTGAATTGACCATCTGTAAAGGATAAGTTAGCATCAAACCCTTTGCTAATAGTTAAGTTAATTTTAGCATCAGACTGTTTGCAATATATAGCTTATGTTTGATATAACAGTCAGAGATGATTGCCAGTTTCAGGCTTAACTGTTAACTAAGGTTCATATAAAGATTTTTTTTATTTTTTTCCAGAGACTTATTTTACAGTTAATTAATTCTGTGTCTAGTTAACACAAAGTAAAGTTATTCCCTGAAGTCAACCATGACTTGCATTTAGGTATAATAATAGCATTAAAATTAATAGCATTGTTATTTTCCTGTGCTTATGTGTTCTCTTTTTATATGTAGAAAATAGAAAGCAGCATAGGATGCTTTAGAACAGTGGTTCTCAACCTTTCTAATGCAGCGTCCCTTTTTGCCAGTTCCTCATATTGTAGCTACCCATCTACCTCAAAATTATTTTCCTTGCTACTTCATAACTGCAGAGCATATGGATTTAATGCGATGATTTCAGAATCTGCCAAGCATGTCTAGATTTTAAGTTATGCTTGCATTCCATTAATTAAATATATATAGCATTAATGTTGGTTCTTCCGTTGAAGTTGATCCAGACCATGTTAATCACCAGATTGGTGCTTGGCTAAAAATGCGCAAATGGTTGGTCAGGCCGATTCTGGCACGAAATGTTCTTGTGCAGAAAGTGCAATGGATGGATGAGACATAACCAGGTGTAGATATACAGATAACTGGATTGCCTTTTTGTGCTCTGCAGCAGCTGTTCTGTTTGCTGCATGTTGCAAGGAGTCTGTGTGTAGGGAGGGATGCCTGAACTTAACGGGCTGTTCCCACATGTCCAGGTTTATGTGAAATAAGAATGATTCTTTTATGGCGTCTTTGCTGTCCCCTAGCAAAACATATGCCAACACTTTCTGCTTCTAGAGAACACAGGCGTGATTCTCATTAGCGAAAACTTACCTGTCGATGAGACTCCCTCCACCATAATGGCAAAGTTTCTTATCAGTAAACAGCATTATTGTGTTATTCAGTGCCATCTTAAATTTCTATTGGAATTCAAACACGATTACACAATCACCACACACACCCACTGAAGTACAAGCAAGTATGGTCAACCATGAATATTTTTTGTCAACATGCCAATTGCAACAAAATCTGCCCAGCAAATAACCCTTTACACTTCTTGGAATACGTCACGGCTGGAGCTCTGCACCGTTGACTGGCACACGATCATGTCCACAATGCTGGAGTTTCAGTACTGTTGCTTTTGGCACATTAATTTGTGTACATTAATTTGCTTGAATAATATACAATTTAATTTCACATGTAAGCTGCATGAGTTATGACTGACGTGCTACACAGAATCTGACTTCAGATTTAGAATGGGCATATCAGTACCTAGTTTAGTATAATCCATTCGATAAATCCCCAGTAGCAATTACAATTTTTTTCGTTCAGTGCTATCTAGGCACAATCAACAGCAATGGTGAGATTCTTAACAGTGAATTTTGAAATACCATTAGCAGCTTTCTGCCAGAGCACTCAAATTAAAATATATCTTATGAGATGTGTTAATATGATAATTATTAGGACCTATAGGTGTAATTTAACCAATACATTTACTTTTACAGACCTGTTTATACTAGAACTATTGAAATAATAGAATATCATCATCACAAAATCGTTCAATACATTATCTTACATTAACAGTAAAAAATAAACATACAGTATATATAATGTATACATCTCAAAATCATACATTGTACACTAAAATGGTAAGAGTACACAGGTCTGCTTTTCTGATACTTGATACAATAATTATAGGTTTTTAAAACCCATCTGTTTAGGTCCGCCTGTGATGCACCCTCCTTGCACTGCCTCATTTTCTGTCTCGGGTTGATCCTGTATTTAAGTATATGCCAAAACGTGCCAAGTGTACTTGTTTTTATAGCCAATTTAATATTTTAGCTACTGTTTTTTTTAGTAATTTTTCACATTGTAGTTACTATTCTAGTGTCTTTGTTTTTTAGACTGAAATGGTATTTTTTTGTTCAGCTAGCAAGGACAGACCATCCACTAAATCAAAGGAAAGTATTTTTTTTTAAACCAAATTTTATTTGCAAACTTTTGTTAGTTAACATAAATAATAAATAATATTTAAACATCAGAAGAAAAAGGTGAAAAAAGTATTAGATTAAAAATTTTGAAAAAAAGTTCAAATTTTATTAAATTGTAAATTGGTTCTTTTTTTTTTTAATTTTTAAGTATAGGCCATAATTTGACAATATAAAAGTAAAGGTGTAAACAAATTTCAGGTTCATGATATTTTATACATTTAAAAAAGAAATGACTAAGAATGAATAAAAAAATTACTGATGATTTGTAAGAATCAGTGAACTTTCAAAATCAGAAAATATATTTTCTAAAAATGACACATCCATTAGAGCTACTCATACTTTTCTCCCATTTATTGTTGAATTTGAAGAAAATATGATTGATAAATCTAGAAGTACACTCTTAAGCCGGGTTTAGTAACTTTCTTTTTTTTTTTTTAACACAATACATTCATAGCATGGTTTGGTCCCTCAAAAATTTTATTCTCCTACTAGTCATACTCATTGTCATATTCCTCTACTCTTATTACTCTTTCAACAAACCTGTATTCAATTAATTTTTAACTTATTTATCTAGCAACATTACACATTTTTTACTTGACCTTCATCTAAAGGTCTCATTCATGAAAAGTAAGGTTAGTTGTCACACCAAACTCCCCCCCCCCCACCCCCCACCCCCTCCCCCTTGTGGCTAATATAGTTTTTTCTAAAACTGAAGCCAGAAGAAAATGTTAAAAGTAAGGTTAGTTGTCACCCCAACCCCCCCCCCCCCCCCCCCCCCCCCCTCCCCCTTGTGGCTAATATAGTTTTTTCTAAAACTGAAGCCAGAAGAAAATGTACAAAAAAAAACAGTTTTTTTTAAAGAAAAAAATAAATGTATATATATATATATATATATACCGGGTATATACATTCTGGATACAAGACAGTAAATTTAGTGGCTTTGAGTAATCCTTATAATTATAAAAAAAAATAACATTGCTCATTTAATTTTGCATGACTTGAGTGTCGTGGAACTCTTTTCAAATATGCTTTTTCACCATCGTAGATCCACATCACTGCATGAGCACAGGACGTGCATTCAGATAATTAAAAAAAACATGCACCATCCGACCGTTCTGTTCCAGATTTTGCATTGGTGGCTGCAGATTTTGCATTGGTGGCTGCAGATTAGGATTTAAGTTTTGTTCAGGAAGGTGATTTTGCATCTGCTCAGGAAGTTGATTTGGTACTGGTGGGTGCATATTTAGATTTGGGTTCTGTTCAGGAACCTGAGCCCCCAATGGCTGATTTTGTCGTTGATGCTGGTTTTGAAAAGGCTGGATCATCATTTTAGCGTTGTCATGTTTTATCTCCATTGCCTGTTCATCTGGTACACCTATGACCTTATTGTCATTATAACCTACCGAAGAAAAGGTTATAGCTTTTATTTAAAACAAATTGGAATGAGTCTTCCTCTTAAAAAATGAGATGTTTAAAAATTTCCTTGGATCCCGCACCTACTGAATTGTATACTCCTAAAAAGCAAACCATTCTATTTATTTTAAAGCTTTACAAAACAAAATAATGGGTTCAAAAAGAAATTTGAAGCAAATTTTTAACGTAAAAACTGAAAAAAAATTCAACGAAATTTCAGTTCGATCAAATTTCCGGATACGATACAAGTTTATGTGATAATTCTTAAATTACCAATTAAACTATCATAAACTTACCTAGAGCCTTTCTTTTACTCATTGCTTCATTCTTTATCTCCTTTATTGCTCTTCTCTCATCCTCCTTAAACAAAATTAAATAGGTTTGTTAACATTTTAAAAAAATGTATCAAAATATAAGGAAATTAAACATGACACAGAAACACTAATCTTAATGAGAACATATTTTTAAACCAATATAACACATACCTCAGGATTGGTCCATAAACTACATGCATTGCATACATAGCATCCATTACCAGGGTCACGAGGATGGTTACAATAATGACTGTAATTTATCTAAGATTAAAAAAAATAATAATAATTTTAACCAAACATCTAAATTGATTTTAATTTTATTAGAAAAGAAATAATAAAAAATCTGGTATGGAAAACCGCAGACATACAAGTTCCAAAGAAAATAGTCACTTGCAATAATGACTTACACCCTGTCGCACTTACCTCTATTCTAATGCAATGGTTTGAGGAACTTATTCTCAAACAAATTTTAAATGAAGTACAGCAAAAACTTGACCCCATCAATTTGCTTATAAATCTGCTTGAAGTACAGAGGATGCTTTCTTAATATTATTGGAAAGACTTAACAATCTCAAAGATCTAAAAAAAAAATGCTAGGGTCCTTTTCAAATGACTTAGCATTTATCATTATCCAATCACATCGTATGATTATAAAAGATTTGTTTTTTTGCGTTCTCTCCCCAGACCTGTATACAGTATGCACCAATTTCAATTATATCTAGAGCCCAGGCAATATTGTTGTAATCATCAAATTTGTTGATGGTACCACCATCTTTGGGTTAATATCTAAAGGGCAAAGAAAGCTTATGCAACAACTTAGTTACAAGCATTATCAGTTGGTGCAATGAAAATTCTCTTCAGTTGCATGCCTCAAAAATGAAAGAAATGGTTGTCGATTTCAATTACAGATCTCACAATAAACACAGTGTAGAGCAAGTAGAAACATAAGTACCTAGATATCATTATTAATAATAAGCTAACATGGCATGAAAACTGTTAAATTCTGTGTGGCAATGTGCCACTATTTGCAACTGCTTTTAAGTAACACTTTATATGCGGCAGTATGCAACAGATAGGAATAAGAGAATCCACTCTCATAGTCATAGTGTGACTGCTATGGGTAAACCCAATCTCGTACACATCCATGGGCATTTAAAGTTAACACACAGCTGTGTACTGGCCGTAAATTTTATGTTGGTTTTTACATGGGGGAATAACCATCCCTACCCCGGGTTGACCCATGGTCAGCTGGGGACACTGGTTCCCTGGGGGGGGGGGGGGGGCGACTTGGAGTGTGTACATTTTGAGACTGTGGTATAGAACGGATGCGTCAGGTCGGCGGCATGTGTGAGAGATTTTACTGTCGGTTCTGTCAACGGATTGTACCTTACATTAAAAAGCTATAGTTCTCAGACCTGATTGTTTTATTGTGATTGTGATTTCATTTAAACTGTAAGCTACGTCACCACTCGGCTACATCTGTATTTAAAAAAAGTCGTCAAATTTGTGGCATTGTAGGCCATGCTTTTACGAAACAGTGTTCAGCACCTAACACTGTGGAGGAATTTGACCTCAGGGATAGGGTATCAAAACATGTGGTGTGTATTGCTTCTCCCCCTAGCTTACAATACTTAAATATTGGGAACGACTATGTGTGCTTTTGGTATAAGTTCAATCATTAATTTCTCTAGAAGCCTAGTTTATTATGCTATAAATTATATCTAGTTGGAAAAGGGGATTTTAATTGCTATACTGGTACTTTACAAGTCTACATCTTTAGTGGGTATTGTAATTATTAAGTAATAAAGGGAGATTTCTCATTCATACATGGGGAGTCCCAACCCCTTCTATTTAAAATATCTCAAAAACCATTTAATTTAACTTATATAAACATAAAATTTTATCATAGGTGACCAAGAAAAACGTGAACAGACATTTATAAGCCTTTACAGAATTCAGTCCGGGATTTTGACCTTTATTCAGGTGGTAGTCCCTAGGGATTGTCAGTTTACCAAAGGGAATCTGCCAGAAGGCAAGTAAGAGGCTATCTTGGTCATAGTGTGACATACATAGCTCTCTAGTCTGTCAGCACATTTTTATTTATAGTGCGCACACTAATGATTTTTTTTATTCCAAGTTTTATTCACATCCCTAAAGTGCGCCATTTTTTACCGGCCCATTTGGGTGCTTTACAAGTATAAGAACATATGCAATTACATTTTTGTGTTTGTAGAATGCAATTGTTAAGGGTTAATAATGTAAAGATTTCTGTTTATTACTAATATTAGGCAGTGTTTCAATCACTTGTTAGTTCTGTATTTGCTTATACTTACAGAGCGTCCAAATCTGCCATGGTGAACAATGGTGCACTTTAGGGATGTGTTTAAAACTTTGAATAAAAAAGCTCATTAGCGCGCACCCTATAAGTGTGCTGATAGACCAGAGAGCATGTACACAACGACTGAGATGGTCTCTTACTTGCCTTCTGGCAGATTTCCTGTGGTAAATTGACTATCCCAATACAAGTCAAAATCACGGACCAAAACCCTAAAGACATTTGTGCCTGCTCCCGTTTTGTCTCGGCTATCTAAGATACACTTTTATCTTCCTATAAGTTAAGTGGTTTTTGAGATATTTTATATAGAACAGGTTTGGGACCACTATGGATGAATGTGAAAACTCCCTTAATTACTTAATATTAAAATACCCTCTAATGATGTAGACTTGTAAATATACTAAGTTATAGTGAATAAAATACCCTTTCCAACTAGATATAATTCATAGCTTAATACACTAGGGTTCCCGAGAAATAAATAATTGAACTTGAACCAATAGCACACATGGTGATTTCCAACATTTTAGTATTCTACACGATGGGTAAGAGGCCATTCCATTCATGCTGCATGTTTTGATACCCTAATCCTGAGGTCAAATTCCGACACTGCTTTGGGCGCCTAACATGTTTCCATAATAGCGTGGTCTACACTGCCACATCAGTAGTAGAGAAATGTTAAGAATATAATATTCCAGTATATCAACTTTATATGGACTATAAAATGGTCTATGACAGCATCAAAAGAAAATATCTATACGAGACTGCAGGAGTTTGACACACCCAACAAACTGACAAGACTGATATATGTAGCACTAAAATTAAAAAGCCAAATCAAGGTTCAGGAAGAATATTCAAGGGAATTTGAGATTAGTCAAACTTATTACAAGGAGACTGTCTTGTATGTCGTTCAACCTAACAGAGAGAGTTATAAGAAGCATACATAATGACATCTGAGGAAGATCAACAGGATACTTTCTGAGGTAAATACGAGATCCACAATAGGCTCTGTCACAATCAACCCCTTCACTATCTGGCATATGCTGATGACATAGCACTGTTAGGGAAGAGTAGTTAGTAGTAAAGACATATCAAAAGAATCACTCTGAAGTTATCATATGTTTTAATATGTAAGTTATTTTAAGCAGTGGAAGTTTGACCTTTTCAGCCAGAGCCTGTCCATTGAAGTCTGTGTTATCTAGTATAGACAGAACCAATAGCAGTCTAGTCCAATGAACACAGAGTCAGGCACATCTTATATTCAGTATAAACCAGAGAGTCAGTAACTATGGAACTTTCTGCAGATTCTCATGTCACATTGTGCATATTAAATATCAATTTTTCCTTGACTTAACTGGTTAGCTGACAAACTGTTAAGCCACATTCTGTCATAAACCAATCAAAACTAGACTCATCAGTTACATTTTCACACACACCATGACGATGTCTTGCCAATAAAAGTATGTAATGGTTTGAATGTTTCAAGCTTAAAAGTTACAATGACAAGTCTTTAATTAATTTAATTTGCCCGTTGTTAACAGCTTAGTTTAACATTTATCATCTTAGTAGAAATCTAATATATACTACTCACATTTGAAGTCCTGCAAATATAACACATTGTTGCGCCACACCGGCATATGATTTTGTTACAGCCACTTTCTTTTGTGAACTGACTATTACATGATTCACAAGTGCGAACTTTAGCTTTTGTCATCTTCTCTTCACTGACAACAATAAAATAATAAAAATGGAACTCTTGAAAATATAACTTATTTGATTGATTAAGAACTATGATTAAATAATTTTTTTTAAAAACAAATTTCAACAATTCAAAAACATGAGGCAGCGCTAGATTAATTTTTGCTACATTTAATTACAAATAAAGTGTCAAGTCAACTGACAACTCACTATTCTAGTCTCAGAGATTCATCTTTGTTTTCTACTTCCTTACAGTCAAGTCCAATATGGTTATTCCAGTCAACACCACAGTCACGACATACAGCCTGTAGGAAATAATCATAAGCAGTAGATTTAGTATTAAGGATATGAAGCATATAATCTCATGATTTTTAGGTTATTTAATAATCTTTTGGAGAAACTTTTGACATTTGGTTAACTTGCTAAGCCTTAATGTTATGCCCCCCTTGTTATTCTATAATATAAAGTATTACACTCCAATATTTAATGTTCCTTAAGACCAATGACCCCCATAATCAACTCCCTATAAAAGATACTTAATACTTTTTTCAGTGACCGAAATAGGATTAACAATGTTTTTACCTTCTGACAGTCTTCTCTGAGACAACGAAACATCTTGACAGAAGGCGAAAGCAGTGCAGCAAAATTACAACTAGAGCACCTATATACAAATTTACAAATCAACAAGTTGTGGTAAAGAATAAAATAAATAAAATCATAAAAAGCAAAACTAAATAAGATAAAAGAAAGCTTATTAATCTATTTTTTACAGCTGGACTTGCCTTAAAAGAATTTGTGTATATTTTTCAAGGTCTTTTGCTTTTCTTAAGACCCATTCATAAAAAAAAAGAGTTTAAAAATCAAAATTATTAGTACCTTAATTATTATGAAAAACTAAGTCATCTGTTTGCATATTACCTAAAAATATATATTTCATTTGAGGTAAAAAGATATTACCAGACTTTTATTATGATGAATTTGAACATTTATATCACAAACACTTCTTTGCATCAGCATTTCATTAAATAATCAGAGAGAATTGTGGAAAAGAAAACACCAATATTTGTAACCTGATCAATTCTCTGGCAACCCCTGCCATATTTAAGTTTTCCTCCATAAATCTCTCCTCATACTTGCTCCAGACTTTGGGTTCAAGACATCTCTGGAGTTCACCTGGAGTTAAAATGACCGAGTTATTTTAAAGATATCTGGTTTAACCAAAATATGATTTAAGTGTATGATAACCAACTTTAATATAAATGAAAATATAAATTTAAAAAGTGCAAATGATTAGAATAAAATATTACTTACTTCCTGGATATATTGAAGAACATTCAGAGGTCATACATTCAAGTTTTATCTGAAATTAGTCATAATTAAAAGACCTACTTTAACAAATAAGTTATCTCAAGTATGTCTAAATTCTAAATGTCAATATAAAAAACATAACTGCCACTTGTTCAAAATAATTTCATAAAGCAACATGTGATAGAGAATTTTTAAATAACTGGAAAAAAAGCATGAGCAAACAAACCTCATTGAACCACCCATACACACAAAGTCAGAAAACCAAACATTCTTAAAATTTAAGGTGAAGTTTCTTTTAAAGTTACCTTTCCACTACCAAATAATTTTTCTTGGACATAAGACTTGAAACAATCCACACAAACCAAGTGCCCCTCTTCACACTGTGCCATTGCTTCAAAATCACAAGAGCCGAAGCAGCAATTGCATGAAATAGCATTTGAATCTTCCGCAATGCTGACAGGGCAGACCGCTTTTACAGAAACCTAAAAAAATTATTTTAATTACCTGTAAGTCTTATTATATTATGCATTAACAAATGTAACACTAATATATTTTGTTTATATAGAATATTCATTACTTTCAGGCATTTCATTATACCCGGTACAGAGGTAGGAGTTTCAGCAAAGTTTTAAAATGACATTACAAACTAACTATTTTCCAAACATAGCTTTCCGTTATTACTCTCCATGTCTACTGTGAAATGTTAAATCATTTTTTGGCTGAAAAGTGTTTCTATTGTTCTAAATTCCTACAATTGCAAATTTTATGATACAGATCAAGTATCGGTGGAACTCATTTTCTCATATTATTACCCCAGCAGATGCTGATACATGCATTATGGTTCGCTCTTTCACAAAGTTGACTTCTGGTCTCAGTGGCACTGGTGTCATATATGATCTGTTTATAGGCCTGGTCTTTGTCATTTTGCGCACTAGAAAATCTTGTTTATATCCATGTTCTTAAAAGGAAAACAAATTAACCATTCTTCGGTATTGCATATTTTAGAGAATCTTTGCATTTAAAAGACAAATATCAATTTAAAATAATTTTAAAATAGAGATTTGTAAAAAAAATATACTCATTAACAGAATTTTACCAACTTATCTCTTTTATATATAAAAAAAAATACTTAGGCCTAATTCATTAATTTATTACCATTTTGAAGTTCAACTGTCACAACCTGTGTATCTGTAATATCAATATTTGTTAGACATAAATGTTAAGCAGTAAGTGCTAATATTATGAAACTACTTTATAAATTTATGTCTTTATCATAATTTCACAAAGAGGTAATTTGTACCAGAATCTTAATCTATGGTTTAGTGACTGTAAATGTAAAGATTGTATGTGCGTGTTTTAAAGAAAATAATATAATTTAACTGAAAACTTTTTTTTTATCTCAAGGTGCTGACCATCAACATTATTCCCCTTACCTATAGCTTTAAAAAGCCCTAAGTGGCTGTGACAGAAAACTGATATTGACACTAAAATAAACCATAGTAAATAGCATGATAAATGGGGAGAAAAAACACAAATATTTTGACTCATGAAAAAAGTTACAAGACACATACAGACAAAAAGAATGAACATGTTAAAAGAAAATAATGTTAAAATCTGCTCATTTTGTCTTTGTACCTTTTTGGCATATGGAATTAGACTTTAAATTCTTGATATTATTATGGTTGAAGATTTTTTAACAATTTTATGTTTCAGGGAATTTTTGGAATAAATTTATTTCAATCCCTGTAAAAAAAAAATTTGAGTAATAAATGTCACACAACAGTCCTGACATACTTCTTTATCTACCAGATTGTAGTACAAAAAAATTAAAGCTAAAAAAAAACAAGTCTTAATATTCACAGATGCCTTGCCCCGACAGATCTCTAGAGTGCTTTTAGTGGCATAGAGGGAAACAAGGTAGTGGACATATTGGAAAAATAAAGAAGTGGATTCGCAAAGGTACAACTTTTAAAGAAGTCAAAACAACAATTTAATCTATCATGAGAGAAAAATATATGTAACTCTATTAAAACAAAAAAGACTACCAAAGGGAGATCAAGTTGAGATTTTTTGACAATGAACCGACCACAATAGCCTGAGCTACCACATGTACAATAAATTTACGATTCCAGCAACTGCCTTATGTAAATATTGTGCTGACAACAAGAAAAACTGATCTTATGCTGGGTCATTGCTTAATTTACAAAATCCCATGAGAGAACGTGTGGAGCCACCTAAAGGCACTATGGGAACATAAGAAGCCTCCAGTTATTTAGCCTGTTTTGTGAGGATTTCTGGAGTAGATGTCTGACAGATCAATGTAAGAAGATGAATACCCAAGTTAAAATTGATTAACATTCTCTACAAACTAACCTGCACTGGCTTTATTCAGTTCAGCACTCACAGTGGAAAGGGCCCTATGTGCTTTAGCATATTTGCCATCATGAAACTCAACAATGCTTCTAATATCATATGCATAAATCTAAGAGTAAGAAACAAAACAAATGTTCAACACAAAACAATGTAAGATAAAATTACAAAACATATAATATGCAAATAATTCTAAACACATGACTGAAAGACAAATATTATTTGTATGTTTTTTTAAAGTATTGAAGTTAAAAGCAATGAATGGTTTTACAAGAAACCCTTCTTTAGCAGACAAAACAAATGTATATATTTATTAAAGAGTCATACAGACATAGTCATATGGATATTTCAATGTTTTTGGCTTCATAGTTTCAACAAGCTTATTTTAAAAATATGTCAGTAAAAACTTTGTTGCAAATATTGTGATATTGAGAATATATCAGTAAAATAAAAAAAAATCCATTTGACACCATATGCCAGGGTTGCCAACTGACCGTACAAATTTGACCATAAAAGAACTTTAAAAAGCCTTTAAAAAATTATTCGATGTAAAAAAATATTTTCAAACAAAACTAAGTGGGATATCTAAATTTTTGTGATTTCTTCTTACTTGCTTGAAGCTTGTCTGATCATTATCAGGAGCAATTCAACAGATGAGGATGCTATACCAGACCTGTTTACCTTTGAACTCTTAAAATCGTACAATATCATCACAAAATCATTTAATGTGTTATATTTATTATAAAAATTAACATACCGTATATACAATCTATACACCTCAAAATCGTACATTCTATGCCAAAATCGTAACAGTAAACAGGTCTGCTATACTATCATACCTTAACCCTCTGGAGACGGAGCCTTTTCGGGGTGTATGTGCCAAAAAGATTTTTACGAGCTCGAGACTCTCATTGCAAAAAAAATTATAAAAAATAAACTATTCCCTTAATATATGTAAAAATATATATATTCTTGTAGGAAATTGAATGAACTAATACAATCTTTATGAATCAAACTGACATATCAAAATTTATGCAAATGAGGTACCCTTATTTGCATAATTTATGCGTGTAATTTTTTGTTACACCTAGAACAAACATGACTTACTTGTATCAATTGTGTGAATTTTTTGATGGATGAAGCCTGAATAAGTCCTAATACTTATTTTTGGGGGGAAAAGGGCCCATGAAGGCCCTTCAGACACCTCTGGCACATGGTTCTACTCCTTTCCCACCCCCACCCCCTATTTTTCAGTTGTTACAGACACACTGTAACAGGCCCCCATTTATAACCTAGGGACCTTCTCTTAAGCTGAATGTTACTGACAAATGTGTCTGCATATCAATTTTATTTTTGGGGGGAAAAGGGCCCATGAAGGCCCTTCAGACACCTCTGGCACATGGTTCTACTCCTTTCCCACCCCCACCCCCTATTTTTCAGTTGTTACAGACACACTGTAACAGGCCCCCATTTATAACCTAGGGACCTTCTCTTAAGCTGAATGTTACTGACAAATGTGTCTGCATATCAATTGGTCTCTCTCATTAACACTTGAGTGATATTTAGTGTAAAAAATAGCATAAAATACTCAAATGGGGTGCTTATGACTTATTTATAGGACTTATGTTGTCTAAAAATTCAGAGGGGTCATCTCTGTCCATTTGAGGACCCCTAATACTAGTAATACTAAACCAAGAGTTCACAACATTAGCATTACCCTCAATTTGAAAGTCTTCATTAATTCCCTGGTTGTTTTCAGCAGATTCAGTGTCAAATTCACTGCTAGAATATCAAAATTACTAAGCACAGTTTGATCAGAGTCACTGTCAGACATGTTCGAAATTCACGATGTAACTACACACACACACAAAAATTCCTGCAAACAAATAAATTGAGTTCACCTTCAACGAACGCCGCCATTACAATGCCGGGATGTGCAGGAATACGTATGAATAATTTTGATTCGCTGGTACAACGCCAACCCAGCCAATCGTGAGGCTCGATCTATCAGGCCGACGGCTCGGACTTGACGTCTTTCTCGCTAGTGTACCTCGGGCCGATAGATTGGCCCTTACGTCTCCAGAGGGTTAAATAACATTTTAAAATAAGCTCAAGCCTAATTTTATGGTCAAATAACATAGATGTGTACACAGATATGAGAGTCATACAGATTTTTACTATGTTTATTAGTTTATCTTTAAAATTTGTAAAAAATGTATTGTCTGTAAAAAAATATTTTAATTTGTCAGTAATTTTCTTTTGAGTTGGCAACCCTGTTTTAAATGTGTTGGCTGTTGGGATCAATAAATCAATCATTGTGGTTGTGATTTATCAATGAATGGACCTCAACATCTCACAAGCCAATCCCCAGCAGACCTGTTTACCCTCAAACTCTTAAAATGGTACAATATCATCACAAAATCATTCAACACATTATCTTAATAGTAAAAAAATAAACATACAGTATATTATTATTATTATTATAAGTGGTTTTATATACCGTGGTACCCCAGCCGAGGACTGGGCTCACCACGCTGTACATACAATTAATCAAACAATAAAAAACCTAAAAATTTAATGAACATACATTAATTAAATTTAAAAAAAAAACAAATGTATATTTAAAACTATTTACATGGACAACTTGCAGCAGCACCGTTTTTCGGCCAGAGGTGGGAATCAGTCAGAATAGAAGAGTTTAAAAAGATGTGTTTTGAGTACAGCTTTGAAGGCTTTGTATATTGTGGATGTGTAACGGAAGAGAATTCAGGTAATCTTATCAATAAACGAATAACTTTTAAGTTTTACCTAATAATAATATAGCACTTCAAACCAGAACAACACAATTTTCTAATAACAGACGCTCAAGTGGGAAATTTTCATAATTTATATATGTTATTTAACATTGTTACTTTAAAAATTTATTTTAATGAGTATAACTACAGAAACTGTTTTCTTAGGTGTTAATCAGGGCAATTTTAAGGCCTTGTTAGTCACTGGGGCAGACCTGTTTACTGTTACGATTTAGGCATACAATGTATGATTTTGAGGT